GTGTGTGTGTGTGTGTGTGTGTGTGTGTGTGTGTGTGTATGTGTGCATGCATGCACATGAGCATGTGAGAGTGCTTATGTGTGGGTTTCAGTGGACCACTTGCAGGAATCGGGTCTCTGCTTCCACCATGGGAGATCCAAGTATTGAACTCATATTGTTGGATTTGGTGGCCCTGACTACTTGTGTTTTGACTTTAATTTGCTTAAGGTAGTTAACCTGATGCTATAGTCTGGACCACCCTGCCTTCTTACCATTTTGCAGTGTCGGGACACCAGTGTGAGACAGTGAGTGACACAGCTAGTACCTTTCCCTGTAGCTCGATAACCAATGAAATTGGCAGGGCTGAATTTCTCCCTATCTGAGGCACACAGGAACCATCTGAGAGCCATTCTCTATCATAAGAGTGAGAAAACCTCTAGGTTCTTTCAAGTTACCTCACATGGGTACCATCGATCAAAACTGTCCTATCATGTCCTTTCCTAATTGGCACTACTGTCCAGTGCCTACTCTACCAGTAGCCACTGTCCACAAGAGCTGTGTGGTAGTGTCTCCCAAAATACCTGCTTCCTTAAAGGAGAAGTGGTACCCAGTGATGCTTGGTGGAGCCATGCCTTCCTCTCTTTCCCTCTGGGTGACTTCAAGGTGATGTGTAATGTATCGGCTGAAGGTGCTCAGTCAGAATAGGCATGAGGAAGGGGTGGAAGGGAAAGATTGTACCCTAGTCAGCATGGAGCCAATTCCACTGTCTCCAGGCCCAGCGGCTCTTCAGCTCCTTCACATGCTACCAACACTGGCAATCTCTCTTCGGTAGCCTCTCCCATTGCGTTGTCAGCTAGAATCAAATCACAGGAAAAGTGCTTCATGGGCTTTTTTTAGTAAAACTCAGCTCAAGTGGGGAATTGAGCTTGAAAATGAGCCATTGTGTTCAAGCCTCTGTTGTTACACCCCTCCTCCTTCCACATACATTGTCAAGAGAGGCTAGTGAGAGAAGCCACTGCCGTCACCCCACACTCACACCACTCTATGTCCACTCACTTCTGGTGGTTTTCTTTTCTTTTTTTATTTTTATTTTTATTTTTATTTTTTTTGGTTTGTCGAGACAGGGTTTCTCTGTGGCTTTGGATCCTGTCCTGGAACTAACTAGCTCTTGTAGACCAGGCTGATCTCGAACACCCAGAGATCTGCCTGCCTCTGCCTCCCGATTGCTGGGATTAAAGGTGTGCGCCACCAACGCCCGGCTGTGGTGATTTCTTTATGTTGCTGGCACCAAATTGCCTAACACAACAATCTGAAAGGATGAATTGTTGATTTTGGCTTATGATTTCTCAAATGTCAGTCCATTATGGTGGGAGAGGCACTGTAGGAGAGATGGGACGTATGAAGTGTGCAGGGTCACGTGACTAGTGGATCAGAAACCAAAACCCATGTTGGTCAGTCTTGACATCCCTAGACAGGGTAGCCTGGCTGTTCCTGCTACAGGCTTTGCTGGGGACTCCAAAAGGGACCTAGCTTATATTCCATGCAGTTCCTCTAACTGCTGGTGAGGTTTATCTGTGTCGTATAACTAGATGTCTAGAGGAGATGATTCCAAGTCTGAGACAGCTCAGCTAGGTCATCAAAATCCCAGGAGTTTGCTCTTAGTCCACTCTGCCTAGACACTCTCTTTTTCCCTCAGCTTTTCAAGATGGCAGTCCAACTACCAGGTAGCAAGATGGGTGGACATTCCTCTTCAGGTGAAAAAGATTTCCCAGCAGCCCCCTTCATTGGATTCCACATCATTTTATCTGGCAGAAAATTTGTATACTCAGTCCTAAAATAGTCACTGGCCAGAAGGAAGAAAATTATTGTCAGCTGACTTCATCTCATGTTGCTACCTCACTGCAGTCTTCCCCAAGTGAGTGTTCTGAGAGCACAATGGGTAGCCACAGATGGAGAGTCGCACCTCAGAAGATGGCCATATACTTCTAGAGTAGCCAGGAAATAGCTGTCCCAAGACGACAGCTGGGAACTAAGAGTGGGCTGGGGATGGGAAGGGTAATGGACTTTACCAAGAGGCTCTGAGCCTGCTTCAGCCAGAGTGTAGATGATGCTCAGAAGTCTTCATCCTCTTCAGAGTCTCCCCAGGGTGGGAGGCATGGAAGCCCTGGCAGGTAGCCAGGCCAGTTCCCAGGGAGATACAGTGCCAACTCTGTGATAACCTGCAGTGTTAGAAGAGAGGACTGTGGAGTCATGCGTTGGTTTGGAAAGGGTTATGTGATCCTGAGCAGGGCACTCAACTTCTCTGTGTTTCAGTTGCCTTGTCTGGAAGATGAGAGAAAAAGCATATTCCTCATGAAGTATTGGTGAAGATTAAGTGGATTAATATATACAATTAATAATACTGTATTACTTCACTTAATTATGCAATTATCAATCCATACTGTGATTAATTACATATCCATTAGATATGATTACTAATACATAACTATAAGAGTCACTCCAGGGAGGAAACTGAGGACAAGATTCAGTAGGGAAGAACAAGAGCCACTCATTCCCAAGGCTGGGAACATCTTAGTCCCAACTTCTCTTCCACTGTCTCTACGGCTGCCTTGGAAGTCATGATTAAGTGGATCCTAACTCCCTCTGGAGAACGGCCATGCAATCAAATGCAAGGGTGATGGACGTATGTTTCAGGACTTAGTTATTCAGAGTGAGGTAAGTTTTGCTGTAGAAACATAGTACCATATCTCTAGTTTCACAAAGAGGCAATTCATTCCTTGCTCATGTTAGCTGCTCATTGTAAGGAAAGTCTATGTATTGTATACCACATGAGGGTCAGACTAAGAAGAGGTATCACACAGACAGAAGATTCTAGGATTCCAAAGATAAAGGAACACTGAAGTCCAATTTCAAAGCGCTTCTATACTTCATTGGCTATTACATGCTGGATGCCAGCAGAGCATAGGTCCATGGCTAACTTCAATGGTGTAGGATCACACACATACTACCATGTGTCTGGAAGGAGAAAGCACCAAAACATTCATGACCATTACTAGTGGGAGCACCTAGAAAGCCCCAAGAACAAATCCACTTGACAGAATGGCAATGTATGAATCCTCCTGGAGATGACACTGTTCCGGACATGTGCTCTGGAAACATACTTTGTCTTCTTCTTTGTAGACTCATGACAGCACCCTACTTTGAAATTGCTACTTCTCACTATGGGGCCAGTGGCACTGTTTGTGGTTTGCAGAATATGTTGGAGTATGGTTTCCCACGGTGGGAATTTTCTCACAATGTGGGAAGATAAAAAAGGAATCACTCCTAGATGGTTTGTGAGGCTGGCTGGCTCCCCTTCTTCTATCAACCCTGACCTGGCTCCATCAGCCTTCCTCCTTTCCTCAGATGCTGTCCCTTTACTTAGTGATACATAAGATCAGTTCACATTTGGACAATTATTGAGTCCATGTATGACCATATGCCAGTCATCTTCGCAACAGCCAAGTGAGGTGGAGTGTTTGGCAGGGTTCTTTAGAGGAACAGAACCAATAGAAGTGTGTGTGTGTGTGTGTGTGTGTGTGTGTGTGTGTGTGCGCGCCGCGTGCGTGCGTGCGTGCGTGCGTGCGTGCGTGCGTGCGTGCGTGCGTGCGTGTGTGTGTGTGTGTGTGTGTGTGTGTGTGAAATTAGACTGGTTTACATAATGGGTTGAGTAGTCAAACAATGGCCATCTGCATCTGGAAAGGCTGAGAATCCAGTAGCCTTTCAGTCCTCTGGGGCCTTGTGAGTCTCAATTTGCCACTGAAGACATGAAGCTCCAGGAGAGCCATCAGTATTCAGTCCGTGCTGGAAGGCTGGCGAATCTGGGTTCTGATGTCAGAGAAAAATGGCAGGAGCAGTAAAAGGCACTCATTCAGAAGGAAAGGAAGGAAAAGTGATGATAAGAAGGCTACACTGCTTGTTAGAAGGTGCCACCCACTTTGAAAATGGGTCTTCCATTCTTGGTTCACGTAGAAACACTGTCACAGATAATCCCAGAGGCATGTTCCCTAGGCTGATTCTAGACCCCATCTTGCTGACATTTAAGACTAATCATCACAGACAGAAGCTAAACCACAAAGTAATAAAGTGCCTGGCTTGAGAGCTAGCCTTGGAATTAAGGTCAAGTCTTCGAATACCAATAAGAACAGTCAAAATAAAAGTGGCTATTTGCCCCTTGCCAGATACTGGCCTGCTGTCTAATTAGCACAGCAAACACAGGAAGCCTGCTTCTATTAATAGTAGAATAAGTAATGATAAAACAGGACCTTGACCCTATTGTGCAGGCGAGGAAACTGAGGCACAGAGA